TACAGATTTCGGAGGTAGCTGGATTTAAATGCCATCCAAGAGTTTATGTAGTTGCATGTTTATGAGTTTAGATCAGTGTTTCTCAACCTTGGCAACTTGAAGATGTCCGGACTTCAACTCCCAGAATTCCCCAGCCAGCGAATGCTGGCTGGGGAATTCTGGCTGTTGAAGTCCGGACATCTTCAAGTTGCCAAGGTTGAGAAACACTGATCTATAGTATTTTCTCCATATTCCCAGAGTCAAAAAAGCTCCCTTATTATATAGAAGAAAAGAGGTCCCTTGTATTGTCTTCTTCATTAACTTGCAAGCATGTTATATAGCTAAAGAAATGTTACAAGCAAGGTCTAGGAAAATTCTCGAAGTTGAAATCCATATGCACACTATATACATAAATAAGCAGAATTTTGTATAGCTCTCTTTAAAGCACCTTGCTTTGGTTGTGGGGTCGGATTCCATTCCGGTATATTTTTTACTATGGCTTCCACAGCTTGTCCAGCTGCAATGCGGGAATCCCAGTTTGTACTCCTTAAGTGTACCAATACCTTGAAGAAATTTTTTAGAAAGTGTTATTCACATTTCTTATCTTAAATGCACTTCATTTAATGCCTGACTAATATTTGTGGAATTTCTGAAGAACAAAAAGCTAATAGTTAAAAAAGGGTCAATAAATATACAGCAAACCACTTTTAAATATCTCCCATAAGTTGGCATTATCCATGTTTGGGCCCCAAAATAAGCATTTGGTCTTATTTTTCGGGAGTGTTATCCCCACCCCACCCCCCAATGTGCTCACTTCTTCGGCTTGTTCATGGAAGGGATGAACAAACCGTGTGGCTGCCGCCATAAGGCAGAGTGGGTGGAGCTGCCCCTCGCAACCCCACGCGGCCAGTCCACCCGCTCCCGAACACCTGTCCCACCACATGGCCACGGCACCAACACACTGCTTGGCCTCTTGCTCCATGGTAGCTGTGAGCAAGCAGAAGAAGTGGGCCAATAGCCACATGAGCTCCTGCTGTACATGGCTGCCACCACAAGGCAGGAATCGGGGCATGGATGGACTGGCTACGGGGGCCCTGAGGTAAGGGGGTGCGGGGTGCGTGGGGCAGCTCCACCACACCTCTGCCTTGCCTCATGGCTGCGACATTGCAAGCAACCAGATGGAATGGGCAGATGGCCAGCTGTGCAAGCTCTTAAGTAGGGCTTATTTTGGGGATAGGGCTTATAATCAGGAACACAGGTAAACATGCTAGGTCTTATTTTTGGAGTCGTCCCCCCCCTCCGGAAATGGGATATAAAATGCTAGATTGGAAGTGTCAATATTGATTACTAAATTTAATAAGACATTTTTCTAATTATTTGTACAAAAGTCTCTACAGAAACCTAAACATTTCATGATTATCATCAATTATAATATGGCTTTCTGCATTTCATGTTACTTTTTGCCAAAAACCATTTTAATCAACTTAATCTTTTAATGATTTATAGATGTACCACCAAAGAAGAATCACTGTCGTTTAAGAACACAGATACTACTATTGATTAGCAATAGGAATGACTCAAAAATGAAAACACAGTTGCCCAATAAAAATTTCTAGGTAAATTTCAGCACATTCAATATCAGTTCCAAGACAAATATGCATGGTGTCTAAAAAATTATGTCTCCTCCCCCCCCCCCCTCAAATGGATGGGGCAGAATGTTCCATATTTTGAGAAACATTTATGGAGAAAATAATGCCATAATATTTGCTTAAAGCACCCATATGATCCTTTGGTTTTTCTGAATCTAGCTCCCCAACAGACACTAATCCCATCCATTTTAGAACATCGTATTGTATTGTATTGTATTATTTGTATGCCGCCCTTCTCCGGGAGGACTCAGGGCGGCGAACAATTCAAGGGGGGAAAAAAGGGGGAACATAAAAGACAAAATACACTGTCCTGCCATCTTTGTCCCACTTAGAGAACGATCCGGATCAGGCTGTGTCATCTTTTTATTATTATTATTTATTAAATTTCTAGGCCGCCCAATCCCGGAGGACTCTTACAACGAAAGAAAAAAAAGAAAAGCAAAATAAAAGAAT